TTAAGCACACAGATAGTACTGCCAATGACTCACCTGTTAGTTTACAATGGATCTCATTTGTTTTAAGAACAGCCAAATAAATGGCTCAGCTCTGCCACCCACTAGTCCTTTCAAACACAGAAGAATCCATTCTTGGCTAAGAGTACTGAGAGTGAACAAGTACAAGAGTAAACAAGTACAGACTTGAACAGAAAGAAAAATGTGCATATGTAGGTATGCATGTCCAATATCTTGAATTTAACTATTTTTAGTTTTGAGTCTAGAAAGACAAAAGAGGGTCCGTCACTTGACCCAAATTATTTCTTCTTCTAAATTGTCAATAAATAAGGAATGAATCCCTCTCAGAAGCCAATATTTTTCATAGATTATTTTTCCCCCAAAGTGGAGAGAAAAAATTCCATATGGTTCCTTTCCTTCAAAGTATGCATCTTTATAAACATCATAAAAAAGAAGGTGGTGCCTGTGGCTCAGTGAGTAGGGTCCCCATATATGGAAGGTGGCAGGTTCAAACATGGCCGGGCCAAACTGCAACAAAAAATAGCCAGGCATTGTGGTGGGCACCTGTAGTCCCAACTCCTGGGGAGGCTAAGGCAAGAGAATCACCTAAGCCCAAGAGCTGGAGGTTGCTGTGAGCTATGACCCCACAGCACTCTGCCGAGGGTGACAAAATGAGACTCTGTCTCTAAAAAAAAAAAATCATCATCATCATCATTAAAAAAAGATGGTACTTTGTGAGATTCCATATTAGATTACAGAGTAGGTTGGTATCTTAGCTACTGGTGTACCATCACTAATGGGCTTTTGTAAAAGTTAGATTCCCTAGTTAACTGCAACACTGAAGGGAACTATCATTGTGTCCACAGTAACTGCCACCTTAGTAGAAAAAACTGGCAAGTGTGTGCTTTGTGGCAGTACAATCTGTGTAAGCTATAGGAATACCGCTGGAGAGTTCCCAGTTGAGTTATGATATGAATACCGCTCTGGAAACAGTATCCTATTTTCCAGTGAGCCCCATCTGCTCATTGTACCCACCCTCCCCCCCGACTCTCAAGAGGCAGCAAGAATGGGTCTTCTCCGGCTGTGTTTCCTGGCTGGCTGAGGGGCTCGCATTCTGAGGGGTGGGTAAGGGTGACTGGAACGCTCCTCCCTGATGCATGGCATCTTTACTTCATCAACAAACCAGACCAAAAAGACTCTAAACAACCAAGCAGCAAGCATGTTCTTCAAATATAATGTAGCTTCTCTTCCTCTACTACACCCCTTCTCTCAGAAATCAACCCCAGAAATTTGAATTAAAAACTTGCCTATTCTCCTACAGTTCTATGAATCGAGAAACAAGTGCTTATCCAGACCAAAGGGAGAAGAAATATACCTTGTTTTAACACAGCTGGCTTGCTACCTTGTATCAGTGTAAGGAAATTAATATATATTGGCAAGACTTTGGTCTCACAGTATCCTGAAATAGAGAACATCCTGGGATA